TTGCTCTTGACAAGCATGTCGTCCACATACACTTCCATATTCCGGCCGATCTGCTTGGCGAACATTTTGTTCACCATTCTCTGGTAGGTCGCTCCTGCGTTCTTTAACCCGAAGGGCATGACCWWGTAACAGTACAGACCTTGGTCTGTTATGAATGCGGTATGACCTTGATCTGGGAYATGCATCTTGATTTGGTTGTACCCAGAGTAGGCGTCCATGAAGGTGAGCAGTTCGTGCCCGGCTGTGGCGTCCACGASCTGATCAATCCTCGRCAGTGGGAAGYAATCTTTCGGGCATGCCTTATTTAAGTTCGTAAAATCTACGCACATTCTCCACTTTCCGTTAGATTTTTTAACTAATACAACATTGAAGAGCCACTCGGGATACGAAATTTCTTTTATGTATTCAGCTTTCAAAAGTTTGCTAACTTCCTCAACAATTACATCACTCCGCTCCTTGTTTATAGGACTTCTTTTTTGCTTTACAGGTCGGAATGACGGATCTATGCTGAGGCGATGCGTCATAATTTTCGGGTCAATGCCAGGCATGTCCTCATGGGACCACGCAAAGACATCCGAGTTGGATCTAAGGAAGTGGATTAGCTCCTCTCTGTTGGTGGCCCCCAGCTTGGTTCCTATGCTTACTTGCTTCTCGGGACTAAGCAGAGAAACAAACTCGAGCTCCTCAGTGGGTGCGGCAAACTCCCTCCTCGGCAGGTCGGCCTCGAACTCGAGCGTCCCATCCCTACCGACGAGAGTTTCGAGGGCGCAGACCGATGAGCCTTTGAGTGCGGAGGCATAACACTCCCTCGAAGCGGTCTGTTCTCCTCGGACCGTGCCCACGCCATTGGGGGTGGAATACTTCAAAATTTGATGAAGTGTCGAGGGAATGGCCCGAAATGAGTGGATGATGGGTCTCCYAAAGATGGCGTTATAGGCCGATCTACCGTCAATTACCACGAACTCGGCCATTTGGGTGACCTGAGTTTGGTCCTGCCCAAGTGTGACCGGCAAGTCGATGCAACCCTCTGGGATGACCGATTCTCCAGAGAACCCAACCAGCGGTGTCGRGCTTTTCGTCAATTGCRACCTCGTCCAACCCAGGGCGAGGTAGGTCGGTAAGGACAGGATGTTAGCAGATGCGCCTCCGTCTATCAGCACCCTCCTGACCACCACATGATCAATCAAGGGAGCGATCACAAGTGCATCATTGTGRGGCAGGTGGACCTCCTCTAAGTTTGTACTGTCGAAGGTGATTGGGCAGGTCGGCCTCTGCTCCCTGATGATGCACACCTCGCGCCTGGCTGCACGAGCTAGCTCCTTTCTTTTATGTCCGGACTGACCCCCGCTTGGCCCTCCGAAAATGGTATTGATGACCGCAGGTCGGTCAGTGCGCCGGGGCGGTGTCCTCGAACGCTTCCGCTCTTCCTTTTTCTCTGCCGAGCTGGTCCTGGGCTTTCCCACAAATTTCTTGAAGTAGCCATCTTGAATTAGATCCTCAATTTGGCGCTTCAACTCC